CGTACTAAATATGTAAGGTCATATCTACGTGGGTTTGATTACAGAAACTAATAAAGTATTCTCTAAATAATGAAAAAAAGAATAAGATAAGACTATAAGAGCGAGAAGCAATTTAAATATGTTCAGGGACCATTTTCATCTGCAGAATTAAGGATTATTTTAATGTTACATCATTGCCTTTTCTCTTTTACTTTCCTTTTTAGTTTTATTTTAGGATTCCCTATTTTTAATGTTCATACAGAGATTTCTTTAACTGAAATACCGAATAGTTTCTTTGGTGTGAAAAATTATAATAGTACACAGGATCCTAATGACATAATTAATAATGTGAAATAGGAAGTAAAGGGCTAAAAGTATAGGGAAAGTGGGAAGGGTGGGGGAAAGGTAATAAGGGAGAGGAAAAAAATAAGAGAAACTGAAAAAATGGAAATAAAGTGTTTGTAAATGGGGAGGGGAGGAGGGGGAGAAGGGAGGGCAGGGACAAGGGGGAAAAATGAGAATCAAGACCTATTATGTAAAGGTACAAGATCCCAATGATGAATGTAATTGTATTGTATACCTAGATTGTACCAATAAACTCAATAAAAAGAAAAAGAAAAGAGAGGAGAGAAAATAGACAGCCGGGCATGGTGGCACACACCTGTAATCCCAGCACTCAGGAGGCTGAGACAGGATCTTCTAGTTTGAGGACAGCCTGTCACAACTGACACCTTAGTGTTCTGTGGAGCTCAACATCAGCTGAAGACTTCCTGGTTCCTTAGAACCCATCAGTAACACAAGAGAGAGGCTTTACCTGCGGAGGGAGAGTCGCTCATCCGCCCAGCTCATCCCACCCTCTGAGGGGGGAATGCCGGCCTTTCCGCGCTCATCAGCATGAGACTTACATCGCACAGGGTCCCAGGTAGGATCACAGCCGCCCCCAAGTCACCCAAGGCTCCCTCCAACCTTTGCATGCACTGAATAAATGCTGGGTAGTGTGAGTCTTCGTCTCTGAGGTCCTAACCTCCCCCCGCCCCGTGGACTTTGAAATGAAATCACACGAGTCAGGCAGTTGCCTCCGATACCTGAGCTCGGCGCAAGACAGCGACATCCTTCTGACCCTTGTGAGAATCACTTTCTCACTGGGTGACGTTTCCGTACAATGGGGTGGCAGAGTCTCCTCTTTGGTTTTTTTCTTGTTTTGTTTCATTGTCTTTTTTTTTTTAACAGGAAAAAAGCGGTAAGTTAAAAAAAAAGCAATACGAACTTTCTTTTTGTCAGTTCCACCTTCCTGGCTGAGTTTAGAGAATGAAAGTCCCAGGATTTAGCTCAGGGTGGTCCTGGTGTCCGCCTCACAAGCGCAAGGTCCTGAGTTTGACCCCCGGTACCAAATAAATAAATAAAATAAAAAGAATGCAAGAGGCAAAGGAGCAGGGAGCCGGCCCTGGGAGGTCCCGGGAAGGGCAAGGAGTGGACAGGTAGCCCAGCACGTTGTCTGCAAAGGGGAAAAATGTGGGAAATGACAGCGAGAGCAAGCTGGTGAAATGCTAATTACAGGAAATGATATCGGAGAGGAACTGAGATGTTCGATCTCTCCACCCATTAGATGTGAGATACGCTGAGCGTGTGTTCTCTAAAAATCGAAGAATGAATTCTAGGAATAACGAAAGTTACAAGTAGGGAGATGTTTATGGATAGGAGAGTTTCTGAGAGGCAGGAAGGGTACTGAAGGGGTAACTGGGGAACCCACTTCACAGAGTTTTATGGAGCAAAACCCATGTGGGTACAACGTGGGCCATAGCCACCATCAGTAAGGTTCCGAGTCCAGTCACTGAGGTAACTGATCCAGTGGGGAACAAGTCACATAAGAAGCGTGCGTGGAAAGAACAAAGATTCTCCCAGGAAGTGGTGGGTCCAGTGGTCCTGGTCACCCATGGAGTGACCGATGTCTACGTAGGCTTCATTAGGTCCAGTGTTTATCCTCTGAGGAAATATGCAGGTGTGGTCATCTTGCCCTTATATTGAGGCCCAGCCTCCAACAGATGCATCTCTGGCCACAGCTGTGGTGGTTTCACCTTTGTCCCAACTCTGGAGGACCTGGCCCTATCTGATGCCGGTACTATTTCTACCTAACTCAGGTGTCTATAATACTCATAAAAAGATCTCAACTCCTCCTCTGCCCGTGGAGCTGCCCCACCTCCTGTCAACCTGACCCACGAGGGAGTCCCTCAGGCCTGGTGCTAGCTGCTAAACCTCAGCACCAAAATGACTTCAATCCCAGGGCGTCCATGATGCGCCCAGTTCCCAGCGCCGCAGTGAGTCACGAGGCATGGTCCCTGCTGTCCAGCAGCTTCCGGGTTAGCAGGACGAGTGGTGGGCGGGTCTCAGGGCAAAGGACTGTACCAAGGCCCCCACGCCCTACCAGGCAAGGCAGCCACTGGACATGGCACATCCCGGCTCTGCACTGGCAGGAGGGAGACTGGGACTGAAGCCCGGGGAGGAGGGAGAACCAGGGTGATGCAGCAGCCCGGTGATGCGCGGTTTACTCCCCGCTCTCTACTACGGGTGACGGGTGACACCAGCTCCCGGGCTCTGGTGAGTCAGCTGTGTAAACAGTCTGGAAACCAGGGAAGCAGCAGAGCTCAAGGAGCCAGCCCCCACGGCGGACCTCGTCACCTCTGTCTTTTCTTTCCTTCTCCCCACGCAGGGGAGGGGCCCGATCCCTCCTCGGTGTCAGTGAACACACACCTCAGGGTATGTGGGGTACAGCGGGGCTGAACCCAGGGCCTTTCTACTGAGCCACCTCCCAGCCCTTTTTTTTTTTATTTTTGGTACCAGGGATCGAACTCAGGACCTTGCGCTTGTGAGGCAGGTGGTGTCACCACTGAGCTAAATCCCTGGGCCCTTTGCCCGCCCCCTTTTTTTTTGGTACCGGGGATTGAACTCTGGTCCTTGTGCTTGCAAGGCAGGCAGCAGAACCACTGAACTAAATCCCAAGCCCCCTTCAGCCCTTTTTTAATTTGTTGGTTTTTACATTTTGTAATGATTATTGTATGGATTTTTGAGACAGGGTCTTGCTATGTAGTTCAGGGCGGACTTGAACTAAGCAGGCCAGGCTGGCCTCAAATTCACAAGGATCTTCCTACCTCAACCTCCCGAGTGCTGATGGTCTTGCAAAGTTGCTCAGGCTGGGTTTCTTATTTATTATGTTTTGGTACTGGGGATCGAACTAGGGGCCTTGCACTTTCAAGGCAGGCGGTGGCACCACTGAGCTAAACCCCCAGCCCAGGGCTTGAAATTATGATCCTCCTGCCTCAGCCTCCCAGAGAGCTAGGACTACAGGCACAAACCACCATGCCCGGCTCAACTCAGGGTTTTTTCTTGCTACTGGCCTATGGTTAGAAAAACTGGGGGCAGAGAACCAGGCCCTTTGAGGCCAGTTGGGGAGAAGGTACTGTTGCAGGGGACTTGCAGGATGCTCGAGGCCTTCGCTGGGCCCACTCGGCCACCCCAGGCCGGGGGGCAGCTGGGGCACAGCTTGAGTTGCCCCTGGGAGAGGAGTCAGTGCCCAGGCCGTGGTGAGGTGAGGGTCCCACTTCTGACCCCGGGTCAGAGGGGAAAAATGAGCCCAGGGGTTTCCACCACACACAGACCAGTCAGGGAAATCTGAAAGATGTTTATTTAAAAATGGGACAAAAAAAGCTTTGGTATTTTAAAACCCAACAACCATCAATCACTACAAAGTTAAACATCCCGAAGCCTGAGAGTACAAAACCACAGACGCCCACAGGCTCAGGACCGGAGTCAGGGAGCCGACCGGGCAACAGACCCAGGTGACAGAGGGTGCACTGTGCCTGAGGCCACTGCCTCGAGACCCCAACAAAAATAAATTAGAAATTCATTCACGAAAGAACGCACTGAATGAGGAAAAGAACGCGATTTTCCTAAAGGAGAGTCTTTCAAAGAGGGGCTGTTTCCTGGGACAGGAGAAAGGGGGTGGAAGGAGGGAGCTGATTCAAGTATTTTCCCTATCGGTTCACTATAGGGGGAAAGCTCAGAGGCCGGCTGCGGCCCCCTCCCCGCCGGGCACTCGTCCTTCCAAAGCCAACTCTGGCGTCCACCAGTGCTTCGGCGCCACTGTCCCCAGCAAGGCACAAAGGGCGGTGCTCCGGGGGACCCCCGCTCGCAGCAGCAGGGCGCCCGGTGCTGTCTGTGCAAACGGCGGCTGCCGGCAAGGCCCCGGCTCCCTCAGACGCTGGGATCCTCCTGTGCGGGCAAAGGAGACAAGGGTTAGCGCCTGCTGCCACCCTGGCCAGGCCACAGCTGCCATGGACTCGGTCGCCTGGGGCCCCCCTCGGGCCAGCACAGCGTGGCCCAGCTGGAGTGTGTGGAGGGACTTGGGTCAGGCCCCAGTTTGGCTGTCCCCCGACTGGATGGGGACACCCTTGCTACTCGGGCTGGCAGGAAGTGACCCAGGGAAGGCCCCCTTCTCCTGCGGGTGGACAGGGCACATCTCCCGCCTGGGCCTGGCCCCTGTGTCCATTCACGCACTGGTACCCGGGGCTGAACCCGTGGTGCTCGGCTAGAGCTGCGGCCCCAGCCTTGCTGTGATCATTGCTAGTGACCTCCCTGTCACTACAGCGTGACAGGAGCAGACTCCAGGACCAAGATGGGAAAGGAAGAGCTAGGAGGGGAGGGGAGGAAGGGGTGGGAGAGGAGAGGGTGGGAAAGCGTGGCTCCTTCAGACACACGAGCCACAGTGCCCCTGTGGCCTCTCCTGAGAGGTGGCACAGCAGGCCACTTGCAGGCGAACCCCAGCGGGGCCCCCAGGATGGAACAAACGACAGTCCCGCAGCAGCTGGGGTCAGACACACAGCTTCTTGAGGGCAACGATGTTCAGGAAACAGGAGGAAAATGAGTGCTACTTGCTGTCCACAGCCCTGGATGCCCACTGCAGCTCGAGGCCACACTGAGGGACCGGCCTCTGAGGCACTGCACAGGCCCTGCTCAGAGCCTGCTGCTTCTGTGCGGGGACAGGGGCTACTGTACACTTGCAGGAACCCCAGCGGGGCCCCCAGGATGGAACAAACGACAGTCCCGCAGCAGCTGGGGTCAGACACACAGCTTCTTGAGGGCAACGATGTTCAGGAAACAGGAGGAAAATGAGTGCTACTTGCTGTCCACAGCCCTGGATGCCCACTGCAGCTCGAGGCCACACTGAGGGACCGGCCTCTGAGGCACTGCACAGGCCCTGCTCAGAGCCTGCTGCTTCTGTGCGGGGACAGGGGCTACTGTGGGAGACAGTGGACACACCCGTTCCTCTATTCCCCAGTCACCACTCTTAGCCTCTCCTCAGAAATCTTTTTTTTTTGTTGTTTTGAGACAGGGTCTCGCGATGTAGCCCAGGCCGGCCTCAAACTCACAATGACCCTCCTGCCTCAGCCTCCCAAGTGCTGAAATGACAGGTATGCATCACCACACCTGGCTCAAAGCCACTCTTGGACGGCCTCTCAGCCCACACTCGCTCCTCTCCCTGGGGCCTTAGGACCCTGTTCCTGCCCAGTCTGCCCGCCGCTGGGCCCTGGACTGCGTGGACAGAGACCTCGGGGCTCCGGGGATGAGAGCCGTCTACCTTGCTCCTGAAGAGGGGCTTGGCTCCGGGCCCGCAGTACTCGTTGTAGATGAGCTTGAAGAGGAAGAGGTGGAAGAGGGTGATGAGGGAGGCCACACTGAACCAGAAGAGGAAGGGCAGTCCGGGGTCCTGCTGGGCCATGTGCTCATCGTGGGCCAGGATGGCCTTGAGGTGCAGCGTGTGGCGCAGGTCCTGCAGGTGCGTGAGGTCGGTGGAGATGTAGAGCAGAGGGGTGATGGGCTGCGTCACCATGACGGAGAAGGTGTGGCCGCCGGGCGCTGCGGTCAGCTCCACCGGCTCCCGCAGGCAGCCCGCCTCACAGGCGTAGACCTTGCCGGGCTGCCCCCGGGCCTCCACGGACACGTGCAGGTAGGGCTTGCCCTCAGCGTCCGCCAGCACAGCCAGGTCCAGGTGGTCGTCCTTGTAGCGGATGCCGCGCAGCGCGTAGCTGTTGTGCAGCACGTCGGGGTCGGCCTGGAACTGCAGGTGGTTCTCAGTGAACTGCAGCCCACCGAAGCTGAGCACCATGCCCTGCAGGATGCCCGGCGCGCCCGCCTTCACCAGCCCCTTGCAGCCGCGCTTCTGCAGCGTCAGCCTCCACAGGCCCGAGAGCTGCAGGATCTGCTGCACCGAGCCCAGCCGGCCTGGCCACAGGTTCTCGGCGTGCATGGTGGCGTGGCCGCTGAAGCAGTGGTCTTCGTAGCTGAGTGTCGCCTCCATCTGCTCTCGCTCCCGGCGGCTCAGGGAGGGGCTGAGCAGCGGGGCGGGCGAGCAGGACAGCATGTAGTACAGCGTCAGGTTCACGGTCAGGCCGGACGGCGTGTGGGCATCTGTGATCTTCTTCATTTCCACCCCTGCAACACCACACACAGGGCTGCGTGTCAGGAGGAAGGAGCGACAGGGGAGAGGAAGGGAATAAGGATGGGGTCAGAGGGTGAAGCAGGTCTTAGCTGGGCGTGGGGGCGCAAGCCTGAGATTCCAAAACTAAAGAGGATGAGGCAGGAACATCTGAGGTCAGCCTGGGCTACAAAGAGAGACCTGGTCTCAGAAAACCAAAGATAAATCTGGGCCCAGCAGTGCTGATCCCCTCAAGGCTAGGAAGTCAGCCTGCCTGTCTAACCTGATTAACGAGTCCGTGGGCCTAACACCTAAAGTCCCATTCAAGGCAGCAGGGTCCTGCCAGAGCCAAAACACCCCTCACTTAGCCGTGACTTGGCCCCAAACAGATGTTCAGGCCCTTCCCGCCAGGCCTGTCATCCCTGCCAGCCAGTCTTGGCCATTTCTCCATCCCTGCGACTAGTCCTGTGCTTTTAAATGACATCTCCCAATTCTGTAACACTTTGGGCTGATACGTACACACACACATACACAGAAATAATCCCCAATCCCAAAATCGGAATGATCTCGGAACCCAGACAGCCATCGGGCCCCTGGGTGTCTCCAGCTGGACACAGAACAGGCAACTTGAACCCCAAACCAAGCCTTGCCTGAGGCGTCTCCCAGCAACCTGGCAAGGCCCCCAGTTCTCACTCCCACAGCCGACGCATGTATCTGGGGACTACACCCCCAAAAGCATCAGGGTCCACCCACTTCTGTCCCTGTCCACAGTCACAACCTTGGTCCCGGCTGCCTTCCTTCCTCACCCGCTCTCCAGGCACACGCAGTGCACAGAGCAGGGAGCTTTTCAAATGCAATCAGATACATCTCTTGCCCTTGTTTCTCTGGGAATGAAACTCACAGTCCTCACCAAAGCCTGCAAGGCCAGCCACCCTCACCACCTGGCGGCCACAGCAGGGCCGGTCTCCAGCCTGGCCAGCCTCCTCCCTGCCACCCGACTGGCTGCTGTTCTGGCTGACTAGGCGATCTCAGAGAGCCCCCAGTACGCACACTCCCACCTCCACTGCTCTGACCCTCTTCTTTGACTCATTCTTTTTTTTTGGTACCTGGGATTGAACTCGGTCGGGACCTCGTGCTTTCGAGGCAGGCGGTGGAACCGCTGAGCTAAATCCCTGGCCCCTTTAACTCATTCTTAAAACTGTCTTCAGCCTGACTTCTCTGATGCCTGCCTGCCTGCTAACCGGACTTAACCAAGCACCAGGAAACAGGAACCCTGAACTAAACAGGGTTTCCCAGCCAATACATACTTGAATGAACTACACTCTCTTGAAGCAAACCAAACCAGTGCAAACCACTGTAGACCAAACATGGATCCAGACAACCGAATCCTCACTGCCGACAGGATTCCCTCACACAGCCAAGGGGAGAAATTTTCATTGGGGGGGCAGTCCAAGTGCTGCCAGGGGTCTCCTCTGCCCAAGGGCAGGGCACACCTCAATTTGACGGGAGTCAGGCCAAGAAGCCCTGGAGAGGGTCTGCGGTGCCCCTGCTAGTCCACCCTTTAGGAAATGACTCTAAAAAGCCCCAGCCACTCAAATAAGGCCTCACCCACAAGTACAAATAACAAGACCCGACCTTTACACTCAGTTTTTCATGTAAACCTCATAAAAGCCCTTTGAAGTAGGTGACACTGTTCTCAAATACAGGCCCAGAACGCTGGGACCAGGAATCCAAGGTCACACAGCTACGAAGCGACCTAGCACAGGAGTAGCCCCTAATCAAATGCCATGCCCAAGTTTGAGGCCCCAGAGTCCCCTCTGCAGGCCTCAGCGGACAAATCGAAGGTGGACCAGGTACCCTCTTGGTGTGTACCGGGTACCAAGCGCTAGCCAGGCCTCACCTGGGCTGAAGAGCTGAGCCCAGAGGTGCTGGTGGTCCTGCAGCAGCTCAGCCGCCGGCATCTCCAAGAGCTCCAGCATTTCCTTCCGGGTCAAATCCTGGAGCGCCTTGAGCTCCTTGGCTGCTCTGCTTTTCAGCACCTGGGGGCTGATGGGGTCCGAGATATGCACCACCCACAGCACTGTCTCATCCAGCTGCGACTTGGGAGCCACCTGGAGCCGGTTCACAAGCTTCTTGGCAGCTACCACGACCAGGTGCACTTGGCCCGTGGGAAAGGGGGTGGACCGACCGGAGTAGAGGAGGAACTGATGGTCGCCGACCTTCTCCAGGGTGCTGGTGAAGGCCCTGGGGAGCGGGCCGGCAGTGGGGCCCACAGTCTGTAGCGCGGCCACACGCTCCGTGGGGTTGTTGAGCTGGATGCGCTGTAGATAGACGTGGGGTCGGCCCCGGTGCGCCAGGAAGTCCTCTTGCAACAGGACGCAGTCGCGGCCGGCGCCGG